TGCGAAATACGAGAGAAACACAAAACTGTTTGCGTGTCCATGACACGGTCCCGTTTCCTGTGGTCATTGCGTGTCTATCTGCTTTGCAAGATACAAGGATAGACAGGACAAGAATTAGAGAAAGAGAGAAATAAAGAAAGGAAGAGAGAAAGATCAAGACAAGATATAGTAGATGGACAGAAGGTTTTTGCTCATTTCTACAGGTGGAGAGAGAGAGATTGGTAAATTGTCTTTATTGTTTCGTTCGGGGTGATCAATCCACCAGGGCTTTTGATCCAATTGTCATGAGAGCCCATTGGAATCCCCATGAAAGCGTGTGCCTGTCTTACGCTGCTCAACTCTAAGGGTCAGACATTTGCGACGGAGGCATTCCCCGCGCGATCAGGAATTGAAGGGTCGCCGAGGTGAAACAATGGTAGAGCCGAACCACAGCAGGCTGCAGCGAACAAGTCGTCAAGCCCAAGTCAAGCACTTAAGTCAGTCACTTGAGCCCTACTCAAAAGTTATCATAAGATATCATAAGATTCACTCTGACCCCTCGCGTTGGAACACGCCGATCCTTTTTCTCTCTCACTCCCTGCGCACCCTTCATTTTTTTCCTACGCTGCTCCAAATGCACGGCAAAGATTGAGAGCCGCGGGCTGAGGCTGAGTTGCCTCAACTCCGTAAGGCAGCTGCAGGTCTTGTGCATCAGCATCAGACCCAGCTTTCATGCAAATGACTGGGTCAAATGCTTGGTACGTGACCTTCCACTCTGCGGAAGGTCAACCATTCGGCCACTGCCTCATAATAAATAGGCAAGTAATATTTCTACAAGGGGAACTGTGTAGTGAAGGGCATCAAATACAAAAGCTTGAACAGTCTTGGTCTTGGCTCATCTCGAGCACCTCGCCCTGCACAACAGCTGTTCCTCCTGACATTTCCGTCAGTCTAAGTCCACCCGCACAGTGACGCACAAACATACCGCATACTGTGCTACTCAATGGGACACTGGATTTTGACAGGCTTCGTGCCTTTGGGTGGTGCCGATCCTTTCGACCAACCAGAGAAAAATGCTGAACGTTAAAATACCCACCCATTTTGAAGTGGGAAAGCAAGGACAAAAATCAACACTGCAGAGCGCGCCCAACTCCAAATTTTTATTGAAACTCTGCTTCAAGACATCACAAGAGGGTTGGGGGCCAATACTCCCGGAGGTTTTTCGGACTTGCGCAGGCTCCGATCATGGAATTGCAAGAAATTTGCCATACCACGCCGGGCATTGCTGATTGAGCGATGGCATTGCACAACAGCATGCAAGCATATGAAAGCTATCATTTGAAACCGTTCTGCAGCACCTCAAGGATGCCCAGGAACTTGTTCCAGACATTTCTGGAGGAAGAATAAGAATAAGGAAAAGGTCTTTCTCACCTTCGTCTCTTGCCTAATCCGAATTCTATGATAGCACGTTATAAACACTTAGATATAGCATGATATAGCATGAAAAAGAAAACCATCCAAATGCAGAATCTGCCTTTTGGAATCTAGAACCGTACTGGCGAATATCTCCAGCAGAAGGTTGGCCACAAAGCAAGCTGCATATCAAGCATGTTAATATTTCGACTTGGATTGTCAATTTGCCAAGCAGTTGGGGTGCGAATTGCAGCCATCGCTCAAACTTTTCTTCGGGTGACTCAAGCTAACAAGCTGTGAAGCTGTGGCGTAGAGAGTGCAGCCTCGAAAGAGCAAAACTATGGGCCTATTTACCAAAAATGGCAAGTGTAGACCCACATGGCATGCAATTCAAGACATTAGAAATATGTATAAATAAAGGGCATCCTTTCTTTTCATCAAGTCCAAAATCCGAGAATCTCTGGCATGGAAAAAGATGGAAAACGAACAAAGACTTAGCAACGACATCGAAGCCTGTCGGATCCCATTGTCCTCAAGGTTTATGGAAATCGCTTTTGACTGCTCCTCTTGAAATTGGAGTTGTTCGGCCGATGGTTATCCACCAGGTTGCAGCTATTCCCTCATCACCAACTGGTTTTGCAACTCTCAAGCTTCTGATTTGTGGAATGTGCCATATGGATCCAAATGCTTGACCTTAGGAATCCTCTCTGTACAGTCCGGATCAGTCCGGCGGTCACAACTGCCCCATCTCGTAACCCATGCCTCCTGCCTCACATGGGTGATGCCGTCAAGGTGGAATTCGAAGGTGGACTCAAAACATCCCCTGGGCGCCATGGTATGCCATGGTCAAATCTTTCAACGCAGAACTGCTCTGTCACCCACAGCTTGGTGTCTCTTTTGAGGTAAAGATTATTTCAGATTGGTTTGGGAACCGATGTGGGCCCCACAATATTCCACAAAAATCAAATTGTGTCACTCCAAGAATAGATTGCCGTGACATAGAATGGAACCTTCCCCTATCAAATAAAGTGGTCTTGACAATGGTCGATGGTGGAAGACTGTGCAGTATACAGTTTCAGTATGTATTATATCATTGTGTACCTCCCCACCCACCAATAGACCCCAAATGTTTACCGCTCTACCTTTGACTTGTTGACAAGTCTTACATTGCAGGTATGTCTGCCACACATTCCTTGTGCGCATGGACGGTTAAATTTATGTTGAAGTTTGCTAGGTGGTGGGCCAGAGAGTTTGCTAGATGATGGGCCCTTCAGTTAAGATTGCATTTTGGATAGTTGTCTGTGCGCAGTGTTTTTTCTTTTTCCTGACTCCTGCCGGCGTTAGAATTATGTATGTATGTGTATGTATGTGTACGTATGTGTACGTATGTGTATGTATGTGTATGTATGTGTATGTATGTGTATGTATGTGTATGTATGTGTATGTATGCGTATGTATGTATGTGTATGTATGTATGTCTGTATGTATGTATGTCTGTATGTATGTATGTATGTAAGTATGTATGTATGTGTATGTATGTGTATGTATGTGTATGTATGTGTATGTGTGTGTATGTATGTATGTGTATGTATGTGTATGTATGTGTATGTATGTGTATGTATGTGTATGTATGTGTATGTATGTGTATGCATGTGTATGCATGTGTATGCATGTGTATGCATGTGTATGTATGTGTATGTATATGTATGTGTATGTATGTGTATGTATGTGTATGTATGTGTATGTATGTGTATGTGTATGTGTGTGTATGTGTGTTTATGCATGTATATGTATGTATATGCATGTATATGTATGTATATGTATGTATATGTATGTATATGTATGTATCTGTATGTATATGTATGTATATGTATGTATATGTATGTATGTATATGTATGTATATGCATGTATGTGTATGTATATGTATGTGTATGTATGCATATGTATGTATATGTATGTATGTGTATGTATGTGTATGTATGTGTATGTATTATGTACGTATATGTATGTATGTGTATGTATGTGTATGTATGTGTATGCATGTGTATGTATATGTATGTATATGTATGTATGTGTATGTATATGTATGTATGTGTATATATGTGCATGTATGTGTATGTATGTGTATGTATGCGTATGTGTGTGTGTATGTATGCGTATGTATGTATGTGTATGTATGTATGTCTGTATGTATGTATGTCTGTATGTATGTATGTATGTAAGTATGTATGTATGTGTATGTATGTGTATGTATGTGTATGTATGTGTATGTGTGTGTCTGTATGTATGTGTATGTATGTGTATGTATGTGTATGTATGTGTATGTATGTGTATGTATGTGTATGCATGTGTATGCATGTGTATGCATGTGTATGCATGTGTATGCATGTGTATGTATGTGTATGTATATGTATGTGTATGTATGTGTATGTATGTGTATGTATGTGTATGTATGTGTATGTGTATGTGTGTGTATGTGTGTTTATGCATGTATATGTATGTATATGTATGTATTATGTTTGTATATGTACGTATGTGTATTATGTATGTACTATGTATGTATATGTATATATATATATATGTATATGTATGTATATGTATGCATATGTATGTATATGTCTGTATGTATGTATGTATGTATGTATGTATGTATGTATGTATGTATGTATGTATGTATGTATGTATGTATGTATGTATGTATGTATGTATGTATGTATATATGTATGTAACTGTATGTATGCATGTATGTATGTATGTGATTAAAAAGATAGCCCAAGTTTAGATGCGAGAATATGTAGTTGGCTGGCGGCTTGTGGAACGCCGCCAGCTTTCGTGCGTTTTCTGTCTCGGTGGGGTGGGTGATAACGTCATGTTCACACTGCGTCTGACACGCTCTTGCTGCTACGCTCTTCTTTTTGTCAAGTACAGTGTCGGTACGGTGGGGTGAGGTGGGGTGGGGTGGGTGATAACGTCATGTTCACGCTGCGTCTAACACGCTCTTGATGCTACGCTCTGCGCTTCTTCACGTAAGTTCTAACACGTCTCTTGATGCTACGCTCTGCACTTCTTCAAGTAACTTCTAACACGTCTCTTGATGCTACGCTCTGCGCTTCTTCAAGTAACTTCTAACACGTCTCTTGATGCTACGCGCTGCACTTCTTCAAGTAACTTCTAACGAAGATCCGCTTGCCCTCGCAAAATGAAAGAGAATGTGGGATCCAAGCTGCACCCCGAGATCGATATATTGGTCAAACAATGGTTGTACAGAAAGTGGACACCTTGCTCAGGTGCAGATGATGCGTATAGAACTTTGACTCAAGTCCTGCAACGCATGTGAAACAAGAGAAGTACAGTCTTACAAGAAGAAATTGAAAAAACAAAGTAGTTTGTCGCAGGATTTCAGAGAATCAAAAAAGGGACCAAAGCACAACATATTGAGAAAACACAGACAAAATGAACTCGCCACGGCTGGCGAAACAGGCGGCGTTCTGTGGGCCGCTTACCATGTAGTTTGGAATTTGGGACGGTCATCGATCCTGATTGAATCCCATTGCGGGTATCCAAGTTTCGTAATGTGGGATAGTAAGCACCTAATGAGAAGTTCATCCCCCATACCTTTCTTGATCAACAACGCAAGCAACGGCAGGAACAAAAACAGCAGCAGCATGCACAACTGCAGCCTGACATTCACCATGGACAATGGTAGGCTGACACTGCAACAGTGACCCCATTAGAGCACCTCCTACATACAAGGGTGAAAAAGCTGGTGCAGAACAACAAGAATGAACCTACACGAAAGAAACACCATTCCTAGCAATAACATCCAATAACTTCAAAAATCTTGGTATTTGGGAAAATCATCAAAAAAATATTGAGAAAATAGCCACTGCCTGATCGAGGCACTCCCATGCAGCATTGGAACCACCCTCTCCGGGCAGGTTGCACTGGAGCTCCCATCTTTGCATCTTTCCTTGGCACCAAGCCCCAGGCCCACAAATGCCAAAAGCAAACAAAGCATCTATGATTTTTATCTGCTTCGTTCCCAAAAAAATGCTTCTGATTTGATGTTTCTGCCTAGCCACTTGACTCCGGCCACCTGAACAGTCCACCAACTGATCTCCGGTCATGTCTGGTCTTGTATGTGTGTGTGATTGGCATGATCGAAGTTTCGGTGTGGTAGCACCCAGAACACATCACGCTAAAGCATCGAATCCACTGTAGTACCGGTTAACGTGACAAAGGCTTTCTCGCCCATTTATGCCGTCCAGTAAAGCACTTAAGATTCCTTAAGGAACCGATGCCCCAAAGCCCCACCTTAAAAAAACATACTGTCCTTCATGCAGGTGATTGTGCATGAATCGGAACATGTTGCCGGAAATACTGGAACACCAGCCTTGATTGGAGCTGCAGCTGGCGGAGCATCGGCCATTGCAAGGCTGTCCTAGCTAAGAATGCGCTGAATCCCTCTGCCTAATCGCAACGAACTTCCCGAAAACACAGAGCACCTGCATGCGATTGCATGCTGCTCTTATTTCAGTACGGGCAGGGTCGCTTGAACAGGTCCTGGTGCTTCCTGGCTTGGTAGGCGCCTCAGAATACCAGCCCCGCATGGTTCAAGCTGTGTGTGTGTGTGCAAGCTTCACCAAACACGAGAAAACTATGAACACCTCAACTCACAACTCATCTTAGCTATTCTTAGCTCACCTTCAAATCTTTCAAGAAGTCTTAAGATTAGTAAGATATAGTGAGCACTTTGTCCTAGTCGAGTGTAAATAGGAGTCGGTCCGGGAGTAAGCAGCTGCCATGCTTGTCTAAGTGGGCGATCCTCAAGCTTAGCAGGAAACTTGTGCCAAGTGGCTGATGATCTTGCAAGACTCGCTCAAGATGAAGCAGCCTACGGGGCCCACCACTGCCAGGGCCCAACCGAAGAATCCTCAGTTGTGTATGGATGCATGGGAACAGCATGGAAAAGCCACAGCTGCTGCTTATGCAAATCATGGCGATAGAAAATGATAGAAACATATCGGTACCGGTACATATATATATATATATAATTATATATATATAATTATATATATATATATATATGTGTGTGTGTGTTTGTGTGTGTGTATGTATATACAGTATAGTATATTATAGAAACTATCAGAGAGGTCAAAAGTTGCTCGCAGAACTGTTGAAACCTGCGGAGGCTCCGATCTCAAGGCCGCGAAGGCCCAATATTCTGTCTGACAGGTAGGGGGTCAGGACAGCCTGAGCTGTCGAGAAGTGCCGACATGTGCCAATGCACGCAAAAAAACTCCTAGGTTCTTTGCCGCTACACATGCTACATGCGTATAAATCTTATAAAACCAATTCAAAGCATGGGACAGATCCACGGTTCAAAACTTGCTACAGCATTTCACAGTATCTCTCTCTCTCTCTCTCAGTATATTTATGGTTATTTAATTTATATTTATGATCCACCTTGCAGTTGGGCTACAAAATCAGGAACCTTCTTCAGTAGAAAGTTCTGACTTATTTTGACTAGCATGCTACAAAATCAAACTCAAAACTCAAAACTTGTAAATGCCTCAATGATCATCACTTGTGATGTGCAACTTCCAGAGCGATTCTGGAGATATGTGTTTTTGAGTCGATTTTGTAGAGATGTTTTTGCTCTTGATTTTGTAGCCTGTGTTCTTAATTTGTGTATTACAAGTTTTGTGCCTGCTTTTGATTTTGTAGCGTGAGTTTGTTTACAAGTTTTACAAGTCCCTAAGGTCCCAAGTGCCTGTTTTCGATTGTGCAGCATTTGTTTTTTGCACAAGTTTTACAACTCTCACCAAAGCCCCAAGATGTCCCAAGTGTCTGTTTTTGAAGCCTTTTTTCTCATATGTTATCTACGAAATCAAACTCGCTAGGTGTTCTTCATTCAGATAAGCCGCTCCATAAAATCAAAGCCTTACCTATTCACACGTGGGCCACCTACATCTGCCCTACAAAATCTGGCTCTGAGATCTCAAAGCAAAACTCCTCCGAAATCTTATGAAAAACTGTGGAGGGGGTTCTCAAGATATATAAGTAGGCCCTTAAAGATTCTTATTCTTAGGGCAAAAATCTTAGGAATGCTGGGTGCATCTTTAAAATTCCATAAACCCAGGACCCTGGAGCTCATAAAAAGGGGGTTGAGGGGAACTGTCCTTTCTAGAATCAAGGTTCTGCCCTCTCACCATTACAGAATCAAGATCTAAAGATATGACACCCAGGAGCATGCTTTGACTACAAAATCAAAGACCTTGGGATTTAACCAGCATTTTTCATTCTTTTTCTACAAAATCAATCCCCTTGGCAAATATAAGGCTTTGAATACTTTTTGTCGTACCCTGGGGCCCCTACTACAAAATCAGGAACCCATCTGCAACATGCCCAAAATGGGTTGTTACCATATTTGCCAACTAATAGATCTTGATTTTGTAGAAAAGTAGGGGTGAAGGCTTGCTCCCCAGAATCGATGGGTTTTTGGGGGGCTTACCCCCTGATTCTGTAGAGGAAACTGCGACCAGGATTGCTTATGTATATTTCATATGATTTCATTATGCTGGATCTTTTCCAGGCCCCAAGCCTTTTCCAAGGGCTCTGGGCTGAGGAACGACATAGAGGCAGATCTGCGCCATCACGATAGCCTTCTGCATGTGCTTGTTCCCAAGAATATCATGCCACATTGGGTTTGTGAAGGATCGTGAGATGTAGGCACGGATATTTTCCGACCTGCAGCCAGATCAGCCTCTGAGACCATCTGGGACCATGTCTGCCGAAAGCTTCAGGATCACGATATGCTTTGAAACGTTTGGAAAGCGCCATCGGAACACTGGGATCCAAACCACACCAGGGAGATGAAAGCGACAGTCTGCGCTTTGCTGAGCCTGCCAGTGCTCGACTCTTTCCCCTTCATTCCCCCCTTTTGCCTTGGAGAAAACAACCGAAGAAGCCGAATTAGAAGAATCATGAAGAATCGCTTCACCATCTTCGCGTTGACAGACACCCTGCCTCACTTCATAGCCTCAGCGGAATCGATCCAGGGGTACAGTTGGGCTGGGACCATATTGGTGACTCTTGCATTGTCCTTGCTAATTACATCTTGAAACTAGAAACGGGACGCCCTCCTACAACAAACCTTCCGAACTCTTCTTCGCAACCCTTAAACTGTGTCACAGGATGTCACAGGTGTGTGAGATTGTCTGGGCATGTTCGCACCCTTGCATTTCCGGCCCTGTCAGCAAAGGCCGGAACTGTCAAGCAGGTAGATATTGGATTGAAGGACTTCGCCATCGCAATAGTTGATGAGAGAGATGAGGTAAACGGCCACGACCACAACCTGAAACGGCTAGCCACTAGTCACTAGCCCAAATTTGAAAATCAACCGTTTTCAACTGCCACGCCAGGTCCTAAGGAGTTCGGCATGAAATGCATTGTTTGGTCCCGGCTCTCAAGTTCCTAAGGGCATGGCTGTGAGCACAGCACCATTCATGATCATTGCTAGCCACATCCTTAGCGCCAGCATGCAGCCATAACCGACAATATCTACCAGTAGTACTGCCACTTTTCACTTCAAAGTGTGCTTCGCGCCACAACGGCGTGCAATTTTTGATCTCTCATCCGACCAGATGGAAACGCTCCCGCCGCTTTAGCGAGCCTACTTTTCGACCCGCCGGAGCCACAAAACGTTGGAAAAACACAGCGTCTCGCGATTTTTCTACCTTTTCCCGCACCTGCATCTTTTTTCTTCTGACATCTTCTGACTCTCTTCTCTGCCTGCTCTCACCACTGTTGCTGCATCTGTCCACGAGTCGGAAGTTTGACTTCTAAAGTTCGTTCGACCATGGAACAACCCAAGAAAAAAGCTTCTGCATGCAGACGCTTGTGTAAGCATTCGAAATGTGCACAAACGCAACCGTAGCTTGAAGGCAGGACTCCACATCAGCACGATAGGCTCTTCCTGGCTATGGAGGGCGGCACAGTGTCAGGCGCAGCCGAGTTGACAAGAACCCTTACGTATCCTTGCGTCATCTCTTGTCATCTGATTTGAGTCTGTACACTTTATTACTTCAATCATCCTCAATCCTGTTCCTGCTACTGCCTCTGATTCAAGGTGCAGTCCTTGGGTCGTGGGCGCATCTTCAAAATGTGGGCTTCACCTGGTGGACTGCTGGTTGCTAGAACTTTCTGACAAAATCATTTCAAACAGGGTCTCCAAATGTGGGCAATAGATGACAGACGGCGCAAATATGAGTTCTGACCACGCCATAGCAGCCATACTATAAAAAGCCCGCAAACTGCACTGAATCATGTCATGTGTGTGGGACTGTTAGTGTCTGCAAAGATCATCTATATCATATATCGATCGAATATAGGCTGATTGCTAAGACAATTTCGCACAAAGCGTGGCCATGCAGCTATGCAGAACATGCATGGCTTCTAAGAATTTCAAGCGTACAGCAAGCCGTTCCGCTTTGTCAGCATTCAAGCGTTGCATTCCGTCTTGGCAGCCAACAGAATCAGTCACACGTGACATCGGAATATAAAATGATATATACACACATATATATATATATATATACACATGCATATTAATATACACCGCCCTGAAAATAGATGGCGCAAAATAAATAAATAAATACCGACGGTGGATGGCGCAGCTTGGCCGTAAAATCACTATTTTTGGCAGATGGCGCGACCCCGAATAGCATCGCTCCTCCTCCTCCTCCTCCTCTCCCTTTCCTCTTCTCCTCTCTTCTCCTTCTCCTTTCTCCTTTCCCTCCTTCTTTCCCTTTCCCTTTCCCTTTCTCCTTTCTCCTTTCTCCTTTCCCTCCTCCTTTCCCTTTCCCTTTACAAATGGAACGCCGTGGTAACCTGTAGATGGCGCAATCCAAAGTTATGGTTTTCCCCCGAAAAAATGGACCCCAGATCTTTCTACTAAGTTTAAACTTTAAACTAAACTAGAGGAAAACTGTTTGTTGTCAACCACATGTGTTGGGAACCTATAGATGGCGCAAAACATCCCATCCCCCAAGTGGTCAAAAGATGGCGCATTTCAAAAATTAGCACCATCCATTTTCTACCCGGAGTAAAACTATATCGACATGACGTGTTTCACCGCCCCCACCCAGTGTTTTCAAGTATTCTATAATACTATATGTGCACGTTTCAGAGATGTTGTGAACGTTTCAGAGATGTTGTGCACGTGTCAGAGATGTTGTGCACGTTCCCAGCAGTTGTGCACGTTTCATAGAAGCTGCGCACGTTTCACGGAAGTTGTGCACACTTCACAAGCCCCCTAATAATGTTCGTGTTCAACTGCATTGGGGCGACCAAACACGTTCTCCCGAACTCTATATGGTGTGTATACATTATATACAGCACACTCCAAAGCTCATAAATCCAGCAAGATATGTTCCTCGCAAAGGCTGTCTGAAGTCGCCTGGCTCCATGCCCAAGGCAATGGACGGAGGCAGATCGGTCACAAGGATCAGGAAAAGGATCTGCAAAGGTGTTCGCATCACCTCGGAAGTTTGCAGCTTGCACCACCTGTACTTCACGGGAGGAATATGGGCTGACATACCAGGTGCCAAGAATATATAAGAATATAGCATCATATAGCATCCAAGACACTGGGATGCCCACCACGATGCAAATGAAGATTTGCATAACCTACGCCAATGCTGTGATACCACAGATTTCATTCAAAGATTAGTGCTACCACACTGCAAGATCTGCGAACCTCTGCAATGTGCACAGACATGATGAATGCCACAAACTTCTGAATGCCCGCGTAGATGGCACGTCCCTTCTCCACCTTGGAGACTTTTGCGGCAATTCTTTCATGGTTGTAGCAGTTTCGGTCACGAAATCGTGGGTTTTCGAGGGACGTGCTCTTTCATCTTTCGCACCATATGCCAAGGGTAAAAATACATGGATCCGACTTCCTGTCGCGCTGAACTTGCTTGGAGAACCTTGCATTATTTATGATAGGATAGGTTTCATCAATCTGACGAAGCCGAGACACTGCATTGACAATGGAGCAGAAGTTGTCGTCGGTAAGCACCCTTGGCTGGCAATGGGTCACGGTAAAAATGTTGTGCTGACACATTGACATGGCCCTTGAGGCCAATGAAAAACAATTGTTGTCCTTTGCAACGGTGTCCTACCAGCAAAAGGTAGTCTCGGAGCCTCTCATCATCCCTATGTGTAACTAAATTCGCTGGTTGAGCCCGGGAGATGCGCATCTTGTTGTACAGGAGCTTAGGCCCGGCGCAAATAAATGTGAATACGGAAACCAGAACAGCCCAACAAAGTATATCAGTTAGGATCAAGCAAAAGTGCACAAACATACCGAACATATAATCAAGAGAGAGAGAGAGAGAATATATATATATACGCACATACAGTATATCGAAATCAGAATGCATATAGAATATTCTCAGTGACTCAGTGTACAATTCCAGGACCGAGGTACATATCTGCAGCGCCCTTCGCCACCTCAGTACCCTGGATGCCCATGGCCACGCCGATGTCTGCTTGGTTCAAGGCTGGGGCATCGTTGACCTCGGCCCATAACTATGCCAACATCTTAAACTGCCCAAAACTTCTTGCAGGACAGGCGGGACAGGCCAAACATACAAAATGTGGTCATGAATTACTTGAATTGAATGCAACATAGTGTGCGTATGCATATTATATATATATCAATATATATATATATATACATAGAGAGAGAGATAGAGATGGAGATAGAGATAGAGATGGATATAGATGGATATATGAAATATGTGTATATATATATATATTATATATATATATATATCCGCCGACCCCTGCCGACAGCAGGGGGAGCGCGTCAGAGAAGAGATTACAAGCAACGTTGTAGGTTCAGAAAGCAAGGTTAGGCAGTGGGGCCCGTGGCCCGCAGGCCCAGTCCGTCCCTCAGGGCCCTGCAGTTTTGGTGTGGCGAAGGCGCCGTTTGTGAAGCTTACAGCTAGTTTTCTTGTAGGCTCAGAAAGCAACGTTAGGCAGTGGGGCCCGTGGCCTGCAGGCCCAGTCCGTCCCTCAGGGCCCTGCAGTGTGTGGT